TTCAAGGTGACTATCACCACTGGCTCAAAGGTGATGGCCAACGAGTTCACTATTGGTCAGGAGACTGAGCTGGAGACCATGACTGGAGAGAAGGTCAAGGTAAAATGAACTTCATACAAGTGTTTAGAAACTACAGTGTAAATGAAATTACTAAAAGCTTTTTATTTTAACAGGGAGTAGTTCAAAAAGATGGTGGCAAGCTGAAGGTCTCTCTGAAGGGAGTTGATTCGGTTACAGAAATGGTGGATCAGAACACAATTGTGAATGTAAGGTGTTTTTTTTTGTGTGTGTGTGTGTTTGCAATGCATTTTAAAAAGACAAATTTTTTTTTAATTTTATAAGCTATTCCCTTTCTTTACAGACGATGACTCTTGGTGGTCTTGTATACAAGAGGATAAGCAAACGTATGTAAYTGATTACACTTGAATAAAAACAATGGTCAAAAACAGAACCTGTGTGGATGTTTAATTTCAGTAGATTCTTAACCTGATTTGCGATCCTGGTATCTGGGCAGCCTACTTGAGCAAAATTTGCGGTACTGCTAGGTCAGTATTTTGCTTGGAGCTCTGCAACTAAACAGTCAACTCCTGCGGTGGGATTTCTTCTCTCCTGGAACTTTGTCAGATAATCGTCATATGTATGCTGTGAAATGGGCATATTATAATGATTGCGAACATGTGACTTAAAATCAAATTTGGAGTCAATGCAGTGTTTCCCTGACCATCAAGTGAAGTGCTGAATAATGGTGCCTGAACATTCAAATGTTTGAAGTTAAAAATTGACAAGCTTCAAATGTTTTTGAGGGGCTGCCCTGGTTAAACACCAGTGTTTCATTAGGATTCCTCAGTATGCCATAAGGTCTGCAGAGGCCTAAATAAGCACTCCTTTGGTTCAGCTGTGTTGAACCCGGGCAGCTCCCAAATCTGCAGGACTTCAGCTCTCAAGGAAAGACTTTAGACACCACTTGCTTTAAATGGTTTTTCAATTCGGGCTGCATGGGGAAATGGAAGAGTGTGAAACCACTGAACAGTTGCTCCTGAAATTTTTTTTTTTTTTTTT